TGTCCTGGAAGAGGTTGAGACGCTCTCGGATCACCTGTATATCCGATTTGAGCTCTCCCGGACCCAGGACTCCAGTAGGGGTCACGTGGCGCGGCGTTTATCCCGCTTTCCGCGGTGGGCTGTTGCCAGGCTGAACCGGGACCTACTAGAGGAGGCAGCCATAATTCACTCGTGGCTGTCTCCTCAGGCTCCGACCGAGGAGGTCGACGTGGGGGCTGGCCGCTTTCGCGATGCGATTACGCATGTATGCGATGCGGCCATGCCCCGCGTTCGAGGTCGTCGGCCTCCAAGGAAGGAGGTTTACTGGTGGTCCCAGGAGCTGGCGGACCTCCGTGCAGCCTGTACACGTGCCCGGAGGTCCTACACGCGCAGTCGGCGGCGTCACCGTGGAGACGGTGAGGAGGACCGGCTTCATGAGGAGTACCGACGGGCGCGGAAAACTCTGAAGCTGGCCATTAGCCGCGCCAAAGAAGAAAAAAGACAGGAGATGCTGGAGGGTCTTAATCGTGACCCCTGGGGTCGCCCTTACCGCGCGGTGCGACAAAAGCTCCGCGCGTCGGGCCCCCCCTTACGGAGACTCTCCAGCCCAGCTTCCTGCGAGAAGTGGTTGAGGGCCTTTTCCCACAACGGGCGGAACACACTCCCCCGTCGATGGCCTCCTTGGCCGGAGACGACGGGGAGCACGGGGAGGACAATGTTCCGCCCGTCCGGGAATCGGAGGTAGGGGCGGCTGTTCTACGGATCCGTTCCAAGAACACCGCCCCTGGGCCAGACGGGGTACCGGCCCGAGTGCTGGCCCTGGCCCTCAACCACATGGCAGACCGCCTCGGGGAGGTGTTCGACGCTAGCTTGGCGTCGGGACGCTTCCCTGAGTGCTGGAAGAGCGGGAAGCTGGTCCTATTGAGGAAGCCGGGACGGCCTGCCGATTCGGTCGCGGGCCTATAGGCCCATCGTGCTGCTGGACGAGGCGGGCAAATTGTTTGAGAGGGTTCTTTCTGCCCGCATCGTCCGGCACCTCTGCGAGGTGGGCCCCGATCTGTCGGACGCCCAATTTGGTTTTCGGTCGGGGCGTTCGACGGTCGACGCCGTGTTGCGCCTGAGGGCCGTGACCGAAGAGGCCGTGAGCTGTGGCGGCGTGCTGTTGGCGGTGTCACTGGACATCGCCAACGCATTCAATAGTCTGCCATTCAGCTGCATCAGGGAAGCACTCCACTATCATGGGGTGCCAAAGTACCTGAGGCGGCTGGTGGCAGACTATTTAGAGGAGCGTACCGTCGTGTACGAGGACCGAGAAGGTAATCTGAGGTGTCGGCCCATGTCGTGCGGTGTTCCACAGGGGTCTGTTCTTGGACCCCTCTTGTGGAACATAGGGTACGACTGGGCCCTTCGCGCCGATTTCCCCCCCGGGCTGGGTGTAATCTGTTACGCAGACGATACCCTCGTGACAGCCCGGGGGGCAAACTTCCAAGAGGCGGCGCGCCTGGCCACAGGGGGAGTCTCCCTGGTGGTCGGGCGCATTGAGGCGCTGGGCTTACGGGTGGCCCTAGATAAGACGGAGGCCCTGTTATTCCATGGGCCCCGTCGTGGTCCACCCCCTGGCGCCTCAATCGTGGTCAACTCGGTCCTCGTACCGGTTCGGGCCCAGATGAAATATCTGGGCCTGATCCTCGACGGGAGGTGGCTCTTCGACGAGCACTTCCGACAGCTTGCTCCAAAGCTGGTCGGCGCTGCGTCTGCCCTAGGGCGACTTTTGCCCAATATGGGTGGACCCAGCGTCGCGACAAGACGGCTGTACACGGGGGTTGTCCGGTCAATGGCACTGTACGGTGCACCGGTGTGGGCGGCGGCTCTGACCGCCCAGAATAGGGTACGCCTCTGGCGCCCTCAGAGGGTAATGGCGGTCAGAGCCATACGCGGTTACCGCACCGTTTCGACGGAGGTGGCATGCGCATTGGCCGGAACTCCCCCGTGGGATTTGGAGGCGGAAGTGCTCGCCGAAGTTTATCGGCGAGTGGCTGACTACCGGGCGGAGAGCGGATTTCGCCCTCCGCCCGAGGATGTGCGCGAGTGGCGCGAAGCCGCTCGCCGAGCCACGATGGCTCGTTGGTCGTTCCGGCTGGAGACTCCACGCGCTGGCTTCGCCGCCGTGGAGGCTCTCCAGCCGGTCATCGCCGAGTGGGCAGGGCGGCAGCACGGGACCCTTTCCTTCCGACTGACGCAGGTGCTTTCCGGGCACGGTTGCTTCGGAAAGTACCTGCACACGGTCGCTAGGAGGGAACTGAGTCCCGCCTGCCACCACTGCGACTGCAGTGAGGACTCGGCCCAGCACACGCTGGCGGTCTGCCCCGCATGGGCGGCGCAGCGCCGGGCCCTCACTGCAGTCATCGGAGTGGATCTCTCGCTACCGGCCGTAGTACGCTCCATGGCCGGTAGCGACAGTTGTTTTACCGCGGTCGCAACCTTCTGCGAGGTAGTAATCTCGCGGAAGGAGGCGGCGGAGAGGGCCCGGGAGGACGACCTCCACTCGGACCCGATCCGCCACCGGCGAACCGGGCGGCGGAGGCCCGCCTACCACAGCCTCATGCCGCCCTGAGTGTGGCCGCGGGTGGACGGGGTGGGTTTCCCCTCCACCCGCATTAGTTGGCCAGCCGCGAGGGGGCGGCGTCCGCGTGTGCCGGACGTCGCCTAAAGAGAGGAACATCTACAATGAGACGGAGCCCGCACCAGGAGCGGGCTGGCGCTAGGAGGGGTCCGGATGTCTTAACAACAGCTGTTCCCGGATCCCTCCTGTTACAGGCGCAGAGTGGCACACCGTGTGGTTTTAGTCGGTCCGAGTCCGACACACCACCCCGCCGCAAACCCCGGAGGGGTGACGGTCCGAGGGGATTTCCACACGTTAAAAAAAAAAAAAAAAAAAAAAGGGTTTGTGTCAAGTTTTCCTTCTCTCTGCAGTGCTATCGTCCTGTTTGATCCCTTAGTCGCCTCTTACGACACCCACGGGATGAATAAGGGTGGTGACACTGTATTCTTTATCCGTCACCGCACGGATATATATATATATACATACCTCAGCCTATGCTTGTCCACTGCTGGACATAGGCCTCTCCCAATGATTTCCAGCGGGGACGGTTGATTGCGGCCTGCATCCAACGGTTTCCGGCAACCTTTACCAGGTCGTCCGTCCATCGGGTAGGCGGTCGTCCCACACTGCGCTTTCCAGTACGTGGTCTCCATTGCAGGACCTTGATGCCCCATCGGCCGTCAGTTCTCCTTGTTATGTGCCCTGCCCATTGCCACTTGAGCGCGCTAATCCGTTGGGCTATGTCGACCACCTTTGTTCTCCTGCGGATCTCCTCGTTGCGGATATATACATACATATACGGATATATACATACTTATAATTTATAATGTTGTAGATAGCTTCTAAAAATATATATGAGCGTTACAAATTTATTGTATGGTATAATATTTTGGTTTCATTTGGTTTATAGTATAATTAGGAATTAAGACTACTCATTTTGATCCACGTTAACAGTTCAAATTTAAATTATTTATTTGCTTTAAATGCGGTATTAAATAATGTGGTATTATAATACCAGTTTTGATAAAAATCGAACAAGCCCATTTAGCCATGAAAATATGGGTATCGCGAAAATTTAACAAATGATTAAAATGACTTAGATGATACCTTTTTTTTCTGTGCGGCAATCCCCTCGAATACCACTTACCGGTGGCAATGTCGGACTCGAACCAACTAAAACCGCACGCCGTCTCAGGTACCAGTAGTCGGGGAACCAGGTGTACCCTAGAAAGGAAATCCCTAGTGCCCCGACGTACCTCGGACCATCTACGGCGGGTAGACGACCCCCCCCTGTGTGGGAACCCCCATGTTCTTCGCAACGCACTCGCCGCCTCCTCGGCCTGCTTCTGCTAGGGTGACAGATGGCCTTACCTGTCATCCCCAGGCCTGCGTTTTGGAGGACGGAGGTCGTTATGCAGCCTCCGGCGCCTGAGTCGTCTGTGGTACCTGGCCCGTTCCCGAGCCTGGCGGGCCGGGAGAGTTCTAAACCTCTCTCGGTCCCGCTCCGCCATCTCCTTCGCAAGCATAACTTTCTCGCATAAGGCGACGGCAGAGTTCCACGCACTCTCGCTCCGCACGATAGCCGCAATCAGGTTATCGAGCGAGAGACTTAGATGGTACCTATTCAAAATTATTCTTATTGTCTTTCCTCTGGACACAATAATGTCCGGTTAGCGAAAGTTAAGTAAGTTTAATTACTAAATTGAAGATTTTACAAAACGAATGAATATTTTTTAAGTTTTCAAGGAAAGCTTGTTATTGGATGATGTTACTTTATGTCAATAGACGTCGTACATATATTGGTTGTGGATTAATGCGTAATGAATATCTGAGTTGCAGTAGTTCATGGGCGGAGGTAGGCACTTTCCCTCAGGTGACCCATTGTTTGCCCTCTTTATCATAAAAGAAAACAATCCTTTAGATCAACAATCCTTTAAATATCCTTTAGCCCAAAGCCAAAACATATAACGACATCTATTGGTTTAAAGTTTTAACAAGTTGCCCTTGAATACTTTAAATTCTTATTTCAATAGATGGTGGCACTGATTGCGATGAAACAGACTATAATGTTGATATAACTTAGGGACAATATTTGTGTGTACTATTTAGGTAATGCCTGATTAAATAGACACACTTCTAAATTTTGTTGAAACCTATTATGTTAGTTATTGTTTAATCCCAGTTTTTAAACGATTCAAAATAGTCAAAAAACAATCATGTGAAACGGAATTTAGCTATGAGTCATCCGTCACTCAGCAGACCAGATGATCCAAGTGTCAAAATTGTCAAATATGACCTTACGTGGTTTTTTGTTATTTGAGTTTAGAAATATTAATGCAATACACAATGAAATCTAAATCGTTTACAGTCGCTATAAAGATTTTATCGATAGCCGTACGCTACAGTAACCGTCGCTATCATGTTGTTTATAGGTAAAACGCAAGAAGCTGAAAACATGAAGTGCGCATGTAAATGGAAAATTAAATCAACAATGCTCGTTGATAGATGTAAAACTGTGCTAATACTATCAAGCGTGGTGTGTACGTTAGCTATTGTGATATCTCTGCAGAAAGTGCTGAATTACGAGGTAAGATATACCAAGCCATTCGCACCGATACCAGATGGATTGTACGGCAACTACTTAGAACCTATTCCTGAGCAGAATCACGATCCGCCCCCACTTAAACCTTTAGATAAAACCAGAGATGCAGAAGCTGTAGTGTCATTAAATGCTGCTCTGGAGATGAAAAAAGTTGGGAAGGCTGATAAAGCTTTAAAGCTTTTCCAACATGCATTTGCCCTTTCACCGAAACACGCAGACATACTTAATCACTATGGAGAGTTTTTAGAAGATACTAAAAAAGATGTGGTGAAAGCAGACCAGCTGTATACATTAGCTTTAACCAATTATCCTGATCACACGGGAGCTTTAATGAACAGACAGCGTACTGCGAGTATAGTGGAAAACTTAGACAGAGATGTGCTTCGTAAAATTGAAGATAAACGGGATGCACTTTCATCGATACCGGAAAACAACTCTGCTCTACGTAGAGCCAAGAAAGAAGCATACTTCCAACACATTTATCACACGGTAGCAATTGAAGGCAATACAATGACGCTGCAACAAACGAGAAGTATATTAGAGACCAGAATAGCAGTTTCTGGTAAGAGCATTGATGAGCACAATGAAATTTTAGGTCTAGATGCTGCGATGAAGTATATAAATCAAACATTATTGTACCGTTTACGTGATATAACTATGGGTGATATATTAGAGATACATAAAAGAGTTCTAGGGCATGTGGATCCGGTTGAAGGTGGACAATTCCGTAGAACACAAGTTTATGTTGGCGGTCATATACCTCCCGGGCCATCAGAGATACAGAGACTTATGACACAATTTTTAGAGTGGCTAAATTCAGAAGATGCATTAGACCTGCATCCTGTCAGGTAAGAAATTTTTGTTTTCCTACAGTTAATTAATGAGATTCTCTTGAGCAAAAATTTCTATATTATAATAATTAAAAAAATGATCACAATTTGAGACTAGCTCTGGATGTATTTAAAATAACTGCGAAAATTGATTTAAATTTTCATTTTATAAACTGTAAATATTAATTGTATAAACTTTTATGTATCATAACAGGTCAAAATATATACTACATCTAAATCATAATGTATCCGTTTTTTATTTTTTTATTTAAATTATATATATTTTATTTTATTTTTTTAGCTTTCTGCATTTCTTCCACATGGAAACTTGTAAAAAAAACTTATAAACAGAGACTTGTAAATAGTAAATCCTCACATATTAATATATAGTCTTACAGTACTGTAATTCTAGAACTCAATTGTTTTCTAACTTTTAAACATATGTTTTTTTAGATTACAATAAAAAAATACACAATAAAATTTATTTATTTCAGATATGCAGCATTAGCTCACTACAAACTGGTTCACATTCACCCATTCATAGATGGTAACGGTCGTACATCACGGCTGCTTATGAACTTACTACTGATGCAGGCGGGATACCCTCCAGTGATTATTGCCAAACAGCACAGACATCTTTACTATCAACACTTGCAAACAGCAAATGAGGGTGATGTCAGACCATTTGTAAGGTTAGAAAACTTTTATAAATATCATTTTAGACACTAAAGCCTGTACAACAAAACACTTTTTACAGTGCATCACATCAAGTCTCAATAGAATTATTGAAAGTGTGAAACTGACTGGGCTAGTATCATTCTTAAAATCTTGTATCTCTCCATATTGCTCCTAGAAGCCCGAGAAGGCCTGAAGAGGCTCCTGTACTTCTAAAAGGAGCTGGGTTGGCTCACCTAGACAACCTTACCTACCTACACCAATACTGATTGCAGCAATATATTATACTAGATCCTCTTCTCTCTCACCCAAGGGATAAATAATGTTCCTTTCCTTTGGTGTAATATACCCAAAATGTGTGTTTCTCTAGCATAAAACACACTAATGAATAGGAATTAGGCATGTTCAATTTATTCTGAGTAGTTTACAAGTATAATAGTCATATATATGGGTATATTGTTGATAATAATATTCATTAAAAATCTCCGAAAAAAATGTTTATAAAATAATCAACTTAAATGAAAACTCCTAAAAAGGCCGTACACAAACTAAAATGATATTATCCAAGTAAACAAAATTATTAAATTTTTATGGGACCAAATGGCAACTATTCCGCATCAAACTAAAGTAGAATCACGTAAATACATTAAAAAAAAAATACCAATCGAATTGAGTACCTCCTCCTTTTTGAAGTCGGTTAATAAAACTAAAGGCTTCCAAATTGTTATATAAATTATAACTTTTGACACTAGATACACTAAGGAATAACATACAATGACTTATGTATGAAAAAAGATATCTAGGAGTAGCAAATATATGTCCCTGAACATACAATACAATGCTGATTTTCTCATACTGAATAAGCTGATTCTGGCTGCCCAGTGTAGGTATATTATTTTTAGTATTGTGCCAAGAGAGCTAGGCCTCAGTCTATCAGAGCAGACTGTACTACTGTGTCTCTAACTTGTTACTCATCAGTATGAAAATGTGGTAAATGGCACTGAAATAAATAAGGCGTAAGAGTTAAAACTCAAAATTCATCCATCCATCCAAAGCCTTTACTAGTCCACTGCTGGACATTAGGCCCTCCATAGAAAGAAGGTTTTAGCCTACTATACCACGTTGGTCAGACGGGTTGGTATAGGGTTTGTTTCAACTTTCCTTCTCTTTGCAGTGCTGTTATCCTGCGTAGTTTGCTCCCTTAGTCGGCTCTTACGACACCCACGGGATGACTAGGGGTGGTGACACTATGTATTCTTAATCCGTCACCACACGGAATTACTCACAACATTCAAAATAAAATCGTAGGTATTTGTAGTAATCTTATCGGTATTGGAGTTGGCAAAACCCAATTTGATTTGATTTACGTCAACGAATTGCGAGATAAATTGATTTAACACAATACCTATCAGCTGTTTAATACAAGCTAATGTATTCAGGTGTAGTCTGATAACAATGTTCTATACTTTAAAGTTTTCTATTATAAACGTTTAGGGGCACACTATAGTCCATCAGATTCCAAGCTTTCGTAACGATAATTTCTTCGAAACCAGAATGGTTCGAAGAACTAATAGTTCGAAGTTCGAAGAAAATAGTGACGCAACGACCAAGCCCCGTCGGCTTGGTCCTTGCGTCACTATTTTCTTAACGCGAACTGACTATAGTTTGATGTCGTTATGGTATCGTAGTTTTAAAGCTATCCAATGCTGACCAGCATGTACCTACTCACTTCTGCAGAGGAACTAAAATAGGACATCTAATATAGAGTATAGAATAACTAGGAACATAGAAAAATCTGATCTAGAATAAGAGTTGATAGATTAAAAAATATTATAGAAGACCCTATTTTTAAGTAAACATACAGTTGTTATGGTCGCCCCACGTTAAGACATATGAATCAAATCTTTCCGCTAAGTTAAAATATTTCAAAATTTGCCGTGATGTTCAAATAGTTATCAGAGGGGTGTCGAGTCACTCAGGTTATTACTAGATTTTTCGAGCAGTAGATCGTCAACCGGTCGTGTGTTGCACGTTGGATGCGGTCAGCAAAGAACCGGTTGTTGTGACGAACCTATGTGAGGCCTATTTCGCGCAGTGGATCTCTTTCGGTTGAGAAGAAGAAGACGATCGACAATTTTCCTAAAAATTCTTCTCCCTAGAAATTTTCTATAAGACAAGCCCGACCTATATATAATGTATACCAGTCATCCGATGTAAAGACATTCTGGTTCTGTAATACAGCGAGTATACAAATGCAAAAAATAACAAATACTCGTAGTACAAGCAAAAAGAATACAGAGTGTCGCCGCCCCTATTCATCCCGTGGGTGTCGTAAGAGCCGACAAAGGAACAAACTACGCAGAACACCAGCACTGCAAAAAGAAGAAAAACTCGACATAAACCCTATACCTACCCGTGTGGCCAGCGTGGTATAGTAGGCTAAAACCTCCTTTCTAAGGAAAGGTTTATGTCCAGCAGTGGACTGTTAAAGGCTGTTGATGATGATGATGATGATTTAGTACAAGCGTAAGTCACTTACAATAGCTGTTAAGTTACAACGTAAGTGCTATTTTGTGCATTGCAATGTATTTGTTGACCTGTTGGTCTAGTGGTTAGTAACCCTGAGTTGGCTTAGCCAGAGGTCGGGGTTTCGATTCCCACTCTGTCTGGGTGAAATTTTGTCTAACTATAAAATCATGTTAATCAGCATTGTAGTACAGCCACAGTTGACGGGCCTGTTGGTCGAGTGGTTAGTGCCCCTGACTGCTAAGCCGGAGGTCGTGGGTTCGATTCCCACCCAGGACAAATATTGTGTGATGAGCATGATCATTTGTTCTGTGTCTGGGTGTAATTTATCTATAATATGTATGTATTTAAAAATATATAAGTATGTTTATCAGCAGTCTGGTCACCATAGCACAGGCTCTGCCTAGTTTGGGATCAGACGGCCTTGTGTGAAATGTGTGAGGTATAAAACAAAAAAAAAAAACAGTCTAGTTTGGGATCAGACGGCCGTGTGTGAAATGTCTGAAGTCGTTATTATTATTTGAATTAATTATGATTATTTTGTTTTTAAACCGGTTTATCCATCTAATCACGAATACCAATTAGCGGAAAGGTATATCATCAGTTGATATACATTTTATACAACTTCAATACGATTGAATGTTTATAAAATATCAGTCTATACATTTTTAATCCGTGAACGAAACTGTTCGTCAATTACAGTTTGTCAACGTCTTAAAAGATGGCATGATAGACGGACTCACACGCACACACACACAATGAATATATTCATCGTGTGTGTGTGTTCCAACTTTATTGTCTTGCGAGAAGAGAAAAATTAATTTAAATGTATAATGTTTATGTGAGCGATCGTGGCTTTGTTATTAGAAAGCGTATAAGTGATTATTAAACGATTGAGTCAACATTATTATTGTATTAATCATAAGTATTCATAAGTGACATGAATATGTTTGTGTACATATGACTATATAGACACATATGCAAATGGTACGGGTTTTTTTAAAAAGACGACTCCCACATTAGTAAATTATCCTGTGTCGCGGGGGACTTTACAACCATACATGAAACGGACACAAAGAAAACCCAGACTCAGACAGACAGAACAACAATTTCTGGATCACACAAAGTGTCGTCCCATGTGGGGAGCGGACGGACCCACAACACTCAGCGTAGTAGTAAGCCGCGTGGCGACCGCTTAAACCACTACGCCATCCGTGCAGTCGAAATAAAATAAGTAAAAACAAAAGTATTGAACTCCGAAAGCAGCTTGTAACCATTACCCCAATATACATATACCCCATACATACGTCCGTGTGGTGACGGAATAAGAATACGGAGTGTCACCAACCCAACAACAATTCAAGTCGTGGACGGAATGAATACTACTACCAAGAGAGTGCCAACTAAGAGAGCAAACTACGGTGGACAACAGCACTGCAAAGAGAAGGAAATCCTAACACAAACCCCGTACCAACCCGTCTGGCCAGCGTGGTTAGTAGGCCAAAACTTCCTTTCCTAAGAGAGACCTTTGTCAAGCAGATGACCCTTAAAGGCTGTTGATGATGATGATGAATGTGATACAACACGCTAAAGATTCACGGACAGATTCGACCTACAAAAATCTTTTCATGACGATTCCTGACTCTCTAAATATTGTTTAGGAATTTCAACTTGTTATTCTATTTTACTAATTGCAGTATGGTATTTATTACAGATTTATTGCGCAGTGTACAGAGCGGACTCTGAATCTATACCTTTGGGCTACCAGTGAATACTCTCACATGGTGCCCGCTATCGGTGAGCCTCATATATTAACAGGAGAAGATATCGAGGAGAACTTGTTATGAACCTGGCGTGGACATGCGAAACGAAGTCAGTATTATTGAAGGACAGCTTGAAGAAACTGATGTCAAAAGGTTCGAAGTTTTGTGGCTGCCTTTAGTTCCTAATCTGGAACATTTGAAATCGTCAGCGTTGAATAGACATTATTTTATTACTTATATTATTTATTTTTGATAGCATGAAATAGGAATTAGTGAAAATAGGCCGTATTCATCCTAGATGACTTGATTACTATCATAGACAATATGTTTCTTTGTACAATTTTTTTTTAATATTTCTATTATGTGTCTATACGTTTCGATCCACAAGACGTGAGTGTATGTTTGTTGTACTTTAAGTACCTAATCCTTTTTATTGTGTGACATCTTTCCTCTTATATTCCTGCATATGTTTAAGTGATTACGTGAAAAACGACGGAACTCTGTCTGTCTATTTTTTTACTAGCTGACCCGCGCAACTTCGTCTGCGTCTCTCAATAGTAATAAATTTTCTCCGTTTTTGAAACATTCTTCATTGGTGCACCGCTCCTATTGGTCTAAGCGTGATGATATATAGCCTATAGCCTTACTCGATAAATGGGCTATCTAACACTGAAAGAATTTTTCAAATCGGACCAGTAGTTCCTGAGATTAGCGCGTTCAAACAAACAAACAAACTCTTCAGCTTTATAATATTAGTATAGATGGTATAAGGGTGCAAACGAGCAGACGGGTAACCAACTACCGCCGCCCATGGACACCTGCAGCTCAAGTCACAAGTGCGTTGCCGCCCTTGGAGTCCCTCCCGCTCGAGTCAGCCGGAGGAGGGATTTAGGCCCCGGTAACGTCACTCACGCATGGCTCGTGGCACGATTTGGCCGCGCTCATGCGCACGATGCTCGTGTTAGCCTGTCAGGTGGTAGGTAAGATATTAAACGATACACATCATAATTGTACTGTAAGACTCGTTCTTTCTTTAAATTATTAGTAGGAAAAGCATACGAGCAGTTTCAATACGATTTATATTCACGCGTTGGTTATGTTAGGAAAATTAAATTAGTATTCCGTAAAAAAGTAATGAAGCTAGCTGCTGCTCCTGATTTTGTTTTGCTTGACAACTATTTTTTATTTGCGTAGTCCACCAAAAATAATTGATGACTTTCTTGAGATGACATTATTGCAAATATTACGAATAATAAAATAAAGAATTATTCAAAGTCTGATGTACACACGTTCGTTTGATATACTACTAATACGTCACACTTGTCTCACCAGTACAATATGGTGGCACACCAGTACAATATGGCGTCGGATTCATGACGTCATGAGCACTGGCCAGTATACTGAGTTATATTTCGGAACACACACCTAGTGACAGTTGCAGACGTCGTTCCGTTTCACTGACACTTAATGAGAAATCTGTGCTCGATAACTTTGTTAAGTTTTACGAGGGGGAAAAATGTATTTTACGAATAAAAATATGAGCGCACACACGTTATTTTCGTATGTAGTAGTTCTTCGATAATACGTCTAGGACTGTCTGCTTTCGATAACTGCATCAAAATAGTGCTTTGAACTGCCATATTAGTATGTAATGGAATAGCGTTTTTTTATTAGGCAAATTGTTCCATTAGATACCTACATTTATATATTACATATATGTGTAAATTTAACTATGCGGTGCATCTTAAATTGTATATAATTTAGTTGGAACATTCAACTTCCATTTATATGAATGTAACTATAACCTGCTGGCAGGTTTTTCTGATGACCCTGTATTTTCTGTACGTGTCCTTATATGCTATTGTCTCATAAAACCTTTACATGGGTGTGAACTCGCTTTAGAATATGTTCTAATGCTTGCAAAACGTTGTTTAGATATTTTTTAACTTCTATCTAATCCAGCTTTGGTTTGTTAATCCAAAACAAACCAAGGCTGGATTAATAACAAGTAATAACATTAATAATTGTGAAAGCAACTTTATGTTTAACTGTCATTATCGTGATCCTATCTTATTTTTTAATATATTACTCACACGGAGGATCATAAGATTTACGTAGTTTACATGAAAAATAATTGCAAAATTGTTAAAGGAAATGTTAATACAAACAACACAAGGGTAATTACTGGACAAAACATTGTCTATCTATTTGATTGCCGAGCAATTATAAATTTAAATATAAACGGGTGAAGTTTTAAATATTTTCCAATTGATAAAACTGTTCTATACTTAACTAAACTACCCTAACTTCCACTGAGTAATATTTATTATGGATATATACACATAATAACGTATAATATAGTACAAGTTCTTGTGTATATGTTAAATATTTACAAATGTGTGTATAAAGTAATTCTTATAGAAGTGTTATTCTACTCAAAAATACAACGCCCATGACAGCAAATGTATATTTTATATAAAACCAAAGAAATTGAATCGTAACTTATTCATATTTATTGGTAAATGATGTAAATATATTGTATAGGAGTTTTATTTTTGTAATTCTTTATAGTGGTTTGGTATGCAATGATTTCTATGTATGCGACAATTAGCTAAATAATCAATATTATCCACTGCTCTGGATATAGGCCTATCCCAATATCCGCCATGGCTCTGTCCTCCGCCTTCCATATCTAGACTAGTTTCCTACTGGCAGAATCCTTTAGGACCTAGGGCCATCTGGCTGGGGGCTTCTTACTTTTTATTTACAGACTCGTGGTCTTGTTTCCACCGCGATGAATCACCTGGCCTAGGTAGACATACTCTTGAATAATTTCGAGCACTTCGAGTAACAGCAGCAACCTTTCGAGCTCAATTGGTCTCTGACATGTTCATTGTTCTTAACCTTGGTTTTGCCTAAGTTCATACCAACATTCGCGCGTTTCAAATAACCATTGAATGCAATGGCCAGGAAAAGGAATTGTCAATATATTTATATTGACAACTCCTATCAAAGTTGGAACTACCTCACATTAAGTTCCACTGAGTTTTTATTACTTAGTATTTACTAATGAACTTCTATCTCAGAGTACAAAGAAGAGTTATTTAATTTGTCTACAATTATACACATGCGTTTGAATCAGTACTCTAATAACTGTATATGTAATTGGAAATAATAGCATAATTAAAAATTACAATATTCTAAATAATATACATAGAAATCATTATCTGATTTATTAGGAGTAGGTAAGCTAACTGAGTTCAGAATTTAGAATATTGAAGCATGTATATACGCAGTTACGCATCCAAACTTAGTTGCGCAGCGGAATGAAGTTTGGGTTTCTGAACGATTGTATATAGCTGACCATAACCAAGAAAGTTTTCCTAACATTAAATTGCAAGAGCCGATATCATATATGAGCGATGTTATTAAAAAAATGAACTTAACTTTCATTATATCACATTAAAGGAATTACACGTATTCTTTACGGTCATCTAAAATGTACTCCTTAAATTTAATCGGTTCAAATGGGAATGCAAATTGATTTTTCAATATTGAATGACATCCCTGATATATCTTTATGAAGAGTAGAAATGTGAAGAACAAAATTAAATCAAGTTCAAGCATTGCTTTATAATTTAGGTATATTATGTGCAATCGATTTATTTCACACAAAAGGAGGCGTACTTAATCAATTTGACACTAATGAGGTTTTATAATTTAAAAAAACAATTACTTGTACCAAAAAAGAATCGATGTTATCACAAAAAAATGCTTGCTATTTCATTTTAATATTTATAGAAATTAATTGTAAGGATGTTTAGTTTTTATTTATTATAAACTATTGTAAACTTCGAAGTAGGTGTTACAATACCTAGAATTTCCTTTTATTTATTTGTGAATGTCGTTGATACTTAAGCCTTGTAATTACTAAAAATGTAATTCTACGTTAAAAATTGTAATAATCAACTGTATGAATTAGTTTGGAAATGTGCTGTGATATCGAAAAATATTTATTTCTTGTTATAGTATGCACAAATTTTGCAATTACATATATATAGGAGAAGGTGGTAATGTGGCCCCTGCAGGTATATTGGCCCCCTAACATATTTATGATTTAGAAACGCGCCATCTAATATAATGCACCTGCAATGCTGAGCTCTTGTGACAGCTACCGAATAGTAACCGACAAATCTGTGAGATGGCGTAACGTTCTTTTGTTATTTAAGGTCATTTGAAACACGCAACGGAAAACATTTAAAACCGCTCTGCATATTATTCATTTTTTCCGGAAAATCTAAGCTTTAAGTTGAGTGATTTGGACATTGTGTTCGAGAAACGTTTTCCTACTGGATTTTGAAGGTAATTATGCAAAAACATTCGATAATTATATGTATTTTGGTTTGATTTATATATTCATTAATACTTGTAATTTGGCCCCCTCGCATTGTTCCTATTATGGTCCCGGGGGGCCATATAACATGTATGAGCGATATATCATTTCTGTATTCTTTTTAATTTTGTTTTCAGATGCCTCGAATCAGTCTACTACTCCCATCTTCGAAGAAAAGGAAAACATGGGATCCTGATGCAATGAAAATGGCAGTTGAAGCTGTAAGGACAAAGGTCATGGGCTACAAAAAGGCTGTAAAAACTTTTTCTGTGCCAAGGTCCACGCTGAAACGATTAGTGAAGGACTTTGAAGTCTCTTTAGATTTACTTGTACATAAACCGCTTGGTAGAAAGCCCGTACTTCCACCTGTCCTGGAAAAAAAGTTAGTAGAATATATTTTGTTTATGGAAGCTAGATACTTTGGACTTACTAGGATGGATGTCAGAAAAATGGCCTATCAGCTAGCTCTCAAAAACCACATCAAAAATCAATTTAGAAATGAAGTAGCAGGACGTGCTTGGTTGGATCATTTTTTAAAGCGACACAAAAACAATTTATCCCTACGCAGACCAATGGGAACATCGTATGCTCGTACTCAAGGCTTTAACAGTGAAGCAGTTAAAGAATTTTTTGACATTTTGGAAGCTGAAATGAGAAACCACAATTTTCCTCCTGACAGGATTTTCAATGTCGATGAGACGGGGCTCACAGTTGTGCAGTCAAAAGTACCACAGGTGGTGGGAAAAAAAGGCAAGAGGCAGATAGGAGCTTTGACTGCTGCCGAAAGAGGTTCACTGTGTACTGTGGTTTGTTGCATGAGTGCATCGGGTATTTTTGTACCACCTATGATGATTTTCCCAAGAAAAAACTTTACAGATCTTTTGATGAAAGGTGCGCCACCTGGAACGATTGGTAAAGTTCATCCATCAGGTTGGATTCAATCTAATTTGTTTACTGAGTGGTTCAGGCATTTTATTGAAAAAACGAACCCCAGCGAGGCCTCTCCCGTGTTGCTCATCTTTGACGGACATTACAGTCACACTCGTAATTTAGAAATAATAGAGCTGGCCCGCGAAAATCATGTCACCATTATCAGTCTCCCACCTCATACGACCCATAAACTCCAGCCTTTGGATAAGACTTTCATGGGTGCACTTAAGAGTCATTACAGCGAGGAGATACGCAAGTTTCTTATTTATTCTGAAAGAATGCTTAAACCTTACGATATTGCTGAGCTTTTTGGACGGGCATATCTCAAGTGTACCTCGGGAGAAATTGCAGTAAATGGTTTTCGTGCTACCGGCATTTACCCATTCAATCCGCAAGTTTTTACTGAGGTTGATTTCATAGCGGAAGCATCAAACAGTGATCAGTCATGTCGCAGTGTAGACAATCAACGTGGAAGTGTTGTTGCTGACCAAGATGCCCCAGGAACGAGTACAGCGGTACAAGAGGCGCCAACTGGTTTGATTCTACCAGAAGAAATTCAGCCCATCCCTGGGGCCAAAACTAGGACTTCTAATCGTGGAAGAAAAGCTACAACAGCAAAAGTGATCACATCATCACCTTATAAAAACCAATTAACCGAATCTTTGCGCTTAGCTGAGACTCGTGGACGAGGCAGTAGAGGTAGACGTGGACGAGGCCGTGGACGCGGACGAGGCGGTGGACGCGGCCTTGGACGTGGTCAAGGTGGAATGGGCAGCGGCAGCAGTGCTTATCGACGACGCCAGAGAGTCAGTACATCCAGCGGTAGCTCTGAAAGTGACGCAGTCGTAGAAACTGACTCTGAATATGACCACCATGTCAATTCAGATAGGATCCCTGAAAGCTTGGATACGAGCTGCATATTTTGTGAAGCCAGTCATTTTAGCGACAGACGTGGTGAGGAGTGGATTCAGTGCGAATCTTGCACTTTATGGGCTCATACAGCCTGTGCAGGCCCTGAAGGCGAATATTATATTTGTGATTATTGTCGTTAAATTTCATTAAAGTCCAATACATTTAATTTGGCCCCCAGGGTGCCATATAACCCTCACTTAATGTCATGTTGTGAAAATTTTAGTTTTCAGAATAAATTAAGTTTTTGATTATTCTGTGGTTATTTTCTTTATTCTATAGTTAGGCATGCATAAGCCAATGAGTAAGGAACACTATGACGTACTTGCTTTATTTGTAAGTGTAGTATTTTTTACATGAGGCCTGAAAAACAAAGTAGGGGGCCACATTACCACCTTCTCCCACTACATATATTGTATAGTTTAGAGGTTAACAATATTGTAATATGTAAATCTTCTTTAACGATTGTAGCTCCACATAACCTAAAAACATGTTTAAATTCTGTTTCTGTGTAAACAGTAGGATAATCTAAATTTTTGTAATATTTAATTTGTCCATGTGGTGACGGACTAAGAATACGGAATGTCGCCACCCCTATTCATCTCGTGGGTGTCGTAGGAGCCGACTAAGGGAACAAACTACGCAGGACAACAGCACTGCGAGAGAAGGAATACTTGACACAAACCCTGTACCAACCCTTCTGGCTAGCGTGGTATAGTAAGCCAAAACCTTCTTTCTAAGGAGAGGCTTATGTCCAGCAGTGGACTATTAAAGGCTGTGGATGAATTTATTATAAAAAAACGCCGATAGGCCCAAAATTAAGTAAGTTTATAACCTACTGAATTTTGGGACTATCGGCGATTACTCACCTTGTGCTTCGGACTTGTTAATTGGGCAAAATAATAGAACAAGTTCTCATCTCTCCTTTTTTGTAAATCTACAATCATCTGGTATTAGTTGGGTAGTTGCTAAGCTAAACTGGAGTTGGTCGCCATTTGTAATTTAACTCCATTCGTGTAATTTATTTATTTTTAAAATTATTGTTCTTATTTTAAAATCAATCAATGAAATATGTTACAAGCAGGTCGTTCCGGTTCAAGTTGTTATGTATATCCTATCAAGTTATTTTTAACATCAATTCAAGGCAAGGAACGACTGATCAGTGATGTGTTGTATCAGCCTTTGTACAGGTGTATATACAACACAGGCATTTGTATTTATTTGAAATATACGGTTTCACTCAGGTGTGAATGAGTTTTGAGGCATCACATATCCGGTGTTGAATAAAATCGTATATTTTTTATGATATCACAGGTAGAAGTTTATTACAGTGATCACTTATGTTGTCTTCCAGTATTTGAGTGTGGTTATTTATTTGTGCATTTCTAAGATACTAGTACAAACTTGTTCTTAATACATCTGAATACTTTGGTAAATACTAGTTTTATTTATTACCTTTCAATCGAAAAAGGCGGCAGGAACGGGAGATGGCTGGTACTCCCGTTCCGAAGAAGTGGCACCCAGGCGCCGGAGGCCGCTGTCCTGAGGGAACGTGAAGAGGAACAAGCCCCTCTTTACTCAATGGTGTGGCTGCCTACTTCCGTCCTAAGGTATACCTGATACCCTAGCAATAAACTCACATGTGACAGAACATCGTGAGGTATTAGTCGTTTGGATACACCATTTCACTATGAGTCCCAGTGAGGGCATTTCCACAAATTACCTTTTAAAAAAAGAACGAATCTTTCCAAGTTACTTCCAGGGTTTGATATCGTTACGATCTCTCATTATACAATCTCTTCTCATACGGATTAACTTAACTGGGCTGTGCCCACATGCAAAATGATAGTTCTCTCTCTCCTTTTATTTTCTTGTGTACGATGATGAAAAAGTTTATCCTCGAGTAAAATTTTCGAAGTTCAAAGATTTTCAGAGAATTTTTGAAAAAAGGTTGCATAAATGTTATGTTTATGTCCTGAACTAGTCACAATTTATATCCTTATCAAAAAGTTTAAATTAATTACTTAAAACACACAGACTTACAACTCGCTAAAAGGATATTCGGGCAGAGGGCGCTACAATAAAACCATTCAAAGTTAATTTTGATTAATTTATTATAATGTGCGATGTTAAAATATTGTTTATAATAAAGCATTTAACTAGACAGCTGAGCGGGCCTCAGCTCGACACTGATCGATTTTCTCGAACGCTATACAAAAACTAACTCATTCAACGCGGAGTAATCTCAATAATATTACAATTATTTAAAAAAAAACGTATTATAATTATAGTAAGTTTTTTTTTCAGTTCAAACTTCGGCGCAGCAGTAACTCTGATACAGAGTACCGATCTGTTCATATATTTTATTAATAAGCGCTATCTAACAACATTGTAAGCTATATAGTATACATGTTACCTCGGAACCGGTCGGGATATATTCGCAGAACATTAATAATAGCAATAATGAATAATGCCACAAAATAATACAGTTTATACTACACTATGCTGAATGTTTCGGGAGGTTTTGTAGATTTCGAAAATTAAAAGTACGTTTATATTGAAACGAAAGCAATGTGAAAGTTGTAGGCCCTAGTGGTTGATGTTAAAAGCGACTCTAAACCTAGCACCAGATGAGCGAATATTAAACCACAAAAAAAAACATTCGGGTTATTTATTTATTTCGTAGACATTATAAATTGTGGTTATAAAGTTACAAACGAAAATTTACCCATAAAGCAGAGGTTGCGTTCATATTCCATCCTGTAGTTCTACTTCGAGTTCAAAGACACGACAGTGAGTGGACGGGCGGCGCTAACACACGTCACGTCACACAAACAATTACTTCATCCACGTATTATCACAACATAATAAATAAGTCTCATTACAAAAACAAACAATGAAAAAAAAATTATAATGTACTGACTTGAAAAACTTATATAGTTACATAGTCTTTAAGTAGTTTTACTATTTTTACTATTAATAATAAAAAAAAATGAATTTTACGATTTTTAGAAGTCGACGCAGTTTTTTTGTTTAAACAGTTACATAGAGGGTAGAATTAAATATCTGCGTATAGAAATTTATTTCACCGGTAATATCGTGTTCGCCGTCAGTAATGGCATGGCTCATACGTGTTGACATCGTGACCAATATCGACAGTAAACAATGTAAATACTGTGTAATAACTCATAATATAACGCAAGTAAAGACATACATATAGCAGCCGGAGCTACGCTCCAACTAAAGTCAATATCGCTGTCCGTATATCATATGAACAAACTAATGAATAGACACGTAAAGTAGAGAATATCCGTTCAGCTGAAGGCCTAATGTTAAAGCACCATAAATAGGAATAATCAGTATGAAAATGACGGTAAGCGAGTTGTTCACTCTGTCACGACAATGTCTAAAGTCAATAGTGGTCGCGATAATTCCAGATACCGTGCACAATAAGTCTAGTATATGGGAAAAATGTCAAGAATATTAGCATAAATGCCACCGTTTTCACAACTAATCAAGTATTTACTTTTGTTTAATTAATGTAATTTTAAATAAGAATGGTATAGCTGATAATAATCTCAATAATTGGAATGTATATTATTTTTGTTAACTCTTGAATTTTTCCCAAAACATTTTACTTCTGTTTACAATCAAGTTTCTAGTCAAGCGATATTCGAACGGCACACAGTCGCCGTCTCATGTTCGAACATGTTCACCAAAACAATGTGAACTACAAAAAATTTCAAACGTATTCTGTTGCTTTTCTTACCGCATTGTTACGTAAATATGATATAAGACAAATATGTTCGACGTGGACTAGTTTAAATATATTTTTAAGTAACAAACATGCATATACGAGTCTCAACAAACACTTAGTCGGAATTATTGTTACATTTACAATGATAGTATAACAAGCGATTTTATATGCAAACGATATGTCGATCGATCACATAATAATAAACATTTACATATACATTATCAATTAATAGTTTCTTTATTTTTAAAGCAGACGGTTTTTGACTTAGCCTCTATGTTACAACATTGTTTTTGGGCGGAATCAATAAAAAAATTAGAAAGAACCAGAAGTTGAAATGCATTTGCAAATTATTAAATTTTAATAAGGTATCACTGACTTCAATATGTCTATATCATGGTAAATCGAATAACTTTCCAAATAGGTTTATAAACAACGAATTTCTAAGGTATCATCAATCATCAACAGCCTATACTAGTCCACTGCTGGACATAGGCCTCTCCTTAGAAAGGAGGTTTCGAAGGTAACAAACAAAATATTGCTAACCAGCCGTCTTTGAAGTCAGTTAAACAGTAATTAATAATGCAAAATTGGCTAACTCAAAAACAGTATCCTTCAGTGTGTTAAGTTTACATCCAAATATCTAATTAACACAATTATTTCACAACATGCCGAGTACTATTCAATGAATGTTATATATAAACAGTTCTGTCATGATAATCAATCACAGCTACAGCGCATATACCTGTCAAAAGCGAACTTGCAAAACATGACCGAAAAAAAAACCTGAAAATTCCTTATTAGTTCGAACACTACAGTTTAAAAAAAACGGACGATTTTGACAGATAATTTAATGCTTAAAAAACATTGGCGCAACTAGGGCATTAAATAAAACAATTCTACAATTGATAAAAAAATTTTTGTTAATAAAAGCATTTTAGTCAGGCCTGGTCGACCTTCAATCCCGCTACAGCCATCTATCTAGTCACGCCAACGAACTCACAATCCCTGGGACCGATCTCACAGCAAGTTTGTACTTCCAAATCTCCCGTCGTATAAAAATATCTACAGTTTGACAATAGGCCTTTAGCGAAAGTTAAATGCATCCCAGAATCAGTGTTTTAATAGAGTTATCTATCGCACCTTACACACACATGATTCGATTGTGTTGGGTATCGAGCGATATATCTACTTGCCGATGTCTATCATTCTCTTCAGTATCTCTAGCAAAGTGTAGGTGACCTCGTGACCTGTTTCACTGACAACGAACAAGAATTAACACGCGATACGTACATATTGATCAAAAGAGTTCAAACCCATACTTTAGTGCTGTAATCACGACTATTACAGAAACTAAAGATTCTTCGCTATCGATACTCGCAATAGCACGATTTATCTCGAACTTCACGGCAACACGACGTCACAACATGCAATTTTAGACGTTATTAAGTTAAAAATATACGTCAAAATGGCTCGTCAACGAGTCGTATGGACGGTCGCCGAAAATGTCACGTTTGTGCTTCAAACACTACAATAAACAGTCTCTCGTATCTTTTCAACAACGCGACGGCACAATCCGGTATACGAAGCTACAGTCACAACAAGATCGAAACGCGGGCAAAACAAATAGTAAAGCGATTATACAGTAGGCCAGCTACACACTTCATTCAAACGTTGAATTTAGGTTTCAATACTGATTTATTTATACACACTATAATTTTCATGTGTTGTTACGTTGTGACAGTTAGTCCGCCATGTTGGCCGCCATTTTATGGCTGCGAGCGAAAGCACGCGCACGGTACGTAGCGTCGATTTGGAAGCGAATTTAATACGATTTTATCACTATTGAATACAGAGATTCTTAAATTATCTATAGTTATGTCCACTTTATACCCATTAAGATCAACGATTAAACAATTTTTAATGATCATCGACAATATTTGTACAATATAGAAACTTTATTTTCGTCCTTTGCTTAGACATCACGTCAATTTATTTCATGCTTTTTAGTCAAGGGAAACTTGTGGGACGACTAGCAATAAATCTGCCATAGGCAAACATTTGATGGAATAAATAGCAGTTAAAACTAAAACGTGGCATATGGTACACATTTAACGAGACCATTACCGTTAAAACGCAGATTCGTATACAATAGGTTCGTAATAATTTCTATCAGAAATGTAAATCTGTCATCGGTATCAGGATACGGATATAGTCCAAAACAAAACTCAAAATAGATTCCTGAAAAAAATATAGGAATCCATTTCATATCCGTATCTAGTCGCAACTCCTGGACTGAAAAAGGAATTCTGCAGTTTCATACGGTGTCTATGGAGTCTGTTCGGATGTCAGCGGGGGTGGATCTACCGATCCGTGGCGCTGGGTATCCGTGCTGGAATCGACGCTACGTGGGATGCGGTGCGGAGCTAGTGATGTCGGGGAGGCTGGATGCGGCGCGAGATGTGTTCCTCCTGTTGCATTTTGCTGCGGAATTCTGCGACCAAATCTCGCGACTGGGCGAGGACCGCCAGCTGCTCGTTCAGGAGCTCCTCCCATTGAGTCGCGTACGCTTTAATGTAAGGAGAAAATATCGAGTTAGCCTTAGTAGGAAGTACGTTTATGTATCTTCATTATTAAAGTGAGTGTATTAGGTGTGATATTAGTTACACTACTCGTAATAGTTTTAGCTTGGCCTGAAGCAAAGAGTAGCAAATATAGTAAAATATATAGTAGCAGGTCTCAGTTAAAAGTTAAAATATTATGTTTGTATAAATGACAATATGAATAATTGATATATACAGTTGACAACGAATGGTAAAATAGCAATACAGTACTTTAAAACCACGTTCAGTCTACGAAAAGGGACACCGTTACAAAAAAGATAAATACATTTTGTTAATGATAACTGGATAAATAATAAACAATTAGTGTCCTATTAAGTAAAATAAAGGAATCCTTTCAAACTAAAGGAATAAACATGTAATAATAAACAAACGAACATGGAAATCACGTTTATAAACAGTTAAAAGAAGTCACATGAATAGTTTTTGCAACAAAATAATCAATAAAACAGACAACACTTCTGTGTAGATGTTTATGAACATGATTTTTACTGTAATGCAATAAATAAATAAACATGACTTTCCATATAATTAATTGATCAAACAAAAAGGTAAAATTAATCATAATTCTTTCTGTAAGAGCGGTTTTGCACCACGTTCGATCAAAATTCGATCGGAACTCGTGAAAACACGGTCAGAAGTAGTCGTAGAACTATTTCTATGGTAGTTTACGCACTAGATCCGACTTCCGTCATCCGAATTCTTTAAGTTATCCGTGAATCTAAATTCCGAAGAAGGTTGTTGACGGACCAAAATAACCATACTATTATTTTTATGAACGAACCCAGTTTTTTTTTCTTCTGTGTCGTTCGTACGTACAATATCATTGCCAGAAGTTGACGCCTATTGAAAGGACTCATGATCTACGACGTGAACACTCTGACGTGACGTGAAATGACGGATGCTAAAAGGTGACCTCTGAATAGCTTGGATTAGAATCAGAGATCGCAATAGTACGTAAACAATACTCGAATTCAGTCAGTTAGTCAGTCAGCTTTCCAAATCCGTAATAACGGATCAGAAATCAGAGATAGTGCATCAAAAGCAATATCCGAATTTAGCCAGAATTTAGACAAAGATTTCTAAATCCGTTTTTTACGGTTTTGGATCAGACCTAGTGCGAAACCGCTGTAAGCGTCCTAAGCAGTTACAAAATTGTTTTACATCTTAAGGAAGCAGTTTCGATGGAAAACTTAGCAAATATCTTTATAATACCACGGGACTTATTTACATCCGTATGTTTAAGAAAAACGGAAGTTGTGAACCTACCTACCTATTACCAACGAATAGATTGAAGATAAACTCCATGTTTAGTTATGAACCAATTTCCCCGTGAGCGACAGCATTGGCAGTAAAATGATCAACGATAGTTAATTTTGTGACTAGATTTTGAACACGGCACGTGAGCAATCAAAAGTGTACTAAAAAAAACTAACGTTAAGGTAATCTAAAAAACTTTACGAGACTAAGTGTATTCCTTATCAGCAGACGTGAAGAAAGGTATCAGAAAAAGGTGAAACTTTAAAGGTAGTGAGTAGGTAAAACGTGTTAGAAAACGTTATACTTTTTGTTTCTAAAATTCGGTAATTTTTCATAAAAAATACTTGTGTTCACTAACTAACTTAAATGAATAATGATATTCAACTGTCGCTGTAGAGAACAAAGAAATTCTAACGCGAATTGGTAAATTGCTTTAACAATAATTTCTTTAGTTGTACTTGTGAATATATTTGTTATAAATTATATCTGTGCTCTAAGGTCTAAGGTATCAACAAGTGATAATGCCACTGAAGATCATACGATTAGATGCACAACTAGCAAGGGTATACACAGTTCATCAAATAGCTAATATGAAAGGTATATATGAAATAGTTAAGCGATTACGGGGTCAAAAATATAATAATTCTGTAAATCGATTCTTTGATTAGAATTATTTAAAAAGATGTTGTAAAAAAATAATTGGGACCCCACGATACAGGCTTGCCTAGTGTGGGGACCGCGTTAAATATTTATCTGATAAGATCTATTACACTTATTTTATGCCTTGTTAAGCACTCCTGTAATTTATTTTCTTTGCGTTTCTAAATATATATTTTTTTCTTTTTTTTCATTTAATTAATCTTTAAATGTAAAATAAATCTTTAAATTCTTAAATAAAAGAGAACCATTTAATAGTTTTACAGTTCTATAGCGGAATAGTTTTATTTTCAGAAGGTGAATGGTTGAAGCTAATAATTAACTTTGCATCCTTTTATTCCTTCAATCTGCTAAAGTGTCATAAACTGAATTTTAAACAAAATATACACAGTTGTATGTGTAACTAGTGTACAGAAACTATAAATGCCTTTATAGTGCCTCTTCAGTATTGTGATTGTTTTTTTAAATAGCTGAAATGTATAAATAATTGCTAGTAGTGCCGTGGTCATCTAGCCGTACCGGTGTTACGAGAATGACGGTGATGTGATCGGTGGCGGTTGACCAAACCTAACATCCTTGTGCGAGGCGGACGGTTGCCAAGGCCGTTGCTCGCGTGGTATCGCAGCCGTTTGGTGCGAGAGTGACGCGACATGCCGCCTGCAACACGCAACACGACACACGCATGCACACAGACCGACAGACACGCTCACTACCGCACTTCATTTTTACATGCAATCCAGTAAGTAGCCAGTTTCATTGTACACTCAAACTAAATAAGAAATTATGGAATTTAATGAGTTAAAACTTTTCTCACTTAATGTGAATTCTAAAAGGACGGATCCAGAGGGAGCTATGTCATCATTAATATAAACGTAATTTTTTACGAGTTTTCTTGTTTGTTTAAATATGTCAAAAAAAACGGTATTACATTCCACTAACGTTTTTGTTTGGTTTACATAGTAACTATCAGTATTTCATTGCAATTATCAGTTTTTTATTAATCCGTGTGGTGACGGATTAAGAATACAGAGTGTCACCGCCCCTATTTATCGGGTCGTTACAGGAGACTAAAGGAGCAAACTACGAGGACAAAAGCACTGCAAAGAGAAGGGAAACTTAAAACACACCCCATACCAACCCGTCTGGCCTATGTTTTTTGTATGTATATATATATATATTTTTAATTTGATAACATTTATATTTAACATAACATTCCCTACTTTTTCGTTGTTTAAGCATAGGTCCATATTTTACAAAAACAATATAACATAATACAAGTCAAGACTAAAGAGAGTGGTGATCTCGTGCAAGGAGCTCGTTAACTGAACGCTAGATCCGCCCATCCTTAAAAACATATTTCAAAAGAACTACTCAGCATGAAAACACACAGCAAATGAACGAAATACCACATAGCCTTCACTGAACTACTTAAAAGCCAAGCTTTAAAAGTTATTAAAACATTACAGATTTAATTAAGACAACCAAATTTGTCTGATATTTATTGTTCACACAATGCCGTTCATATAAAAGTACTTACAATATTTAGTAATCAGTTTTTAAAAAACATCTCCAATAAAGAGATTAATATTAAACTAATACTAATTGAAAGTATTGGCCGTGTGCAGTTAACAGGTTTAAGTCCCTATTTGGTAAGCAAACATTTCTTTGGCCACCAGTTTACATGCAATTCATTGAATGTAGATTATATTTACTAAGAAATAACATTCATATTTCTATTGTAGCCTGTACATATTTCTTTAATTTAAAGTGTATTTGCCAAAAAATATAACATACTTGACTTCAAAATAATCGTTTCCCCATAACTCACGTTACTATAGTTAAACCGCCGTAAGCTTGGCCCTCCTGATGGTTTGGGGGACGCGGGGCGGGGGTGCATTCAACCAATTAGCTAGTGCGTCGCTGTCCGCCGGCAGTGACTGACGTGTAAGTATGGCTGTACGTGTTATTTTTGTTAAGACTGCTACACACGGTATTATTTTGCAACATGGATAATCTGCCGACTCTGCGTCACAAAAAGATTTAAAAACTTGGAAGTTCGGCTTACAGAGGTTCTACTGTTAAAGTTCTAATAAAGAATATTTATTATTTTACTTAATTTTTAAATTGTATCTGAATATTATAATTTACATGATGAAGATGAGGTGATTTTATTAAAATTATTTTACAGTATTAAATTTTACAATTAATCATAAAAACTTACAATACACTTACATTATAATACATAGAAATAAATTCGATTTTTATTACATCGTGTGTAGATTAAATCTCAAACAAATAAATCTGAAGATATCGAGTTAGTACATCGTGTCATGTATAGCCGAGCGCATCACCCGCCCCGCGTCCCCCAAACCATCAGGAGGGCCAAGCTTACGGCGGTTTAACTATAGTAATACCTGGTACTGATTTTGTTTTTCTCACTATCTCGTTTTATGCTTGATGAAATGTACCAAATTTATTCACATTCTTAACGATTATGTAAATAACATACAGTAATATTTGACAAGGATAAATTCCCGTTCTAAACAGTAGGAAATACAAACAAATCTCTTACCATCCTGATCATAGTCCACGTCTCTGGTGATGGCGAGCAGCTGGTTAACGCGGGTGAGCGAGTGTTGCAGATAGTCCGAGATGGCTTTGTGGTTATCGAGCACTTCTTCCTCGGCTTTCTGGAGCTCATCGATCGCCTCGTGGAACGTGTACATCTCTGCCGACATGTCACCCTCCTACGTAATGAAAATAGCATCTTTGAACGTATCATCTATACAAGTATGGCACAAGGTAAATACTTGTATTGTTTTGGTTTTAATTTTATTGTCATGAATTCGATTCTTTATTAGAAATAAAAGTTATTTATAGGTATAAAACAAGGTTACAGTGTTAAGAAACTGATTTTTTTGTTACTTTAAAAAAGACTAATCGGTTTTTATTGGAACAACTTATGCTAAGAAGCTTTTAAAATGTTATGTCTTCGTAGTTTGTACCTACGTGGTCGTGTTATCCGCAGTTAAAATATGTGGGACCTATAATCGAACCTTGAGGCACTCCAACGCAAAAGCGAAGATTCAATATAGTTTCCAATAGTTAAACAAGAGAATTTTGTTCACAGACCGAAGGATACTTTAAAAGTTATAAACCGTAAAACTTATTAGCGTAAGGCTCCTAAACGTTTCCACATTTGTTCTATGGGCGGTGTGTGGGACGCTTCGTCCAGGTGTAGTGTGGTGTACTAACGTTGAGCGAGCGCAGATGCGCGAGGTCGTGCGCGGGCTCCATGTCGACGTCCGGGGGCGCGTCGTCGGGGCGGCGCGCGGGGTGCGCGGGGTCGGACGTGCCGAGCTCCTTGACGCGGTCGGCGTAGCGCAGCGTGTTGAGCGAGTGCTCGCACGACGACATGGCGGGAGAGATCATGGCGATCATGCACGTGCGAGACTTGTCGCCGATGAAGCTGTCGCGCAGCACCTGCGTCAGCTTCGACACCCGGAACGGCAGGTGGTTGTTGCCCTTCATGCCCAGCGCGCGGATGCACTCTTTCAGGGCGAGTAACGATTTGTTGATTTCTGCGCTCTCCATGCCTGTAAACGATAAGACTAACGTTACACCCTGTCCCGACTCCCACATACGAAGAAACAGAAACGTACTACAGCGCCATCTAATGAAGACACACCGAACTACGTAGTGACTACTAAAATAAGAATTGGTAATCCTGTATCGCGATATAAAGAATTCCCTCGCCGACTAGCATATATACGACTTACCAACATCAACCGTTGGCATCACAAGGCGTGATCATCTCGACTAGTCGAAGAATCCTCACTTTGTGTTGGAGGGACATGACACCCGTTCCTCCACACACCCCTTCAAATCACCGTATAATACTTAACAGTATGCTGGAAACCCTTGTCCCCAGACAGAAATTCAATTGAGAACTGACAAATTACGCTGTAAAATTGATCGATACAGCTTGTGGGTAAAATAACTGACATAGATAAACTGTGACTCTGATAGAAAATGTCTATGTTAAAAATAAACACACCACGCAGGCGGAGCTTCGGACGAAAGCTAATAATTAATTTAATATATATAGTGATAGATATGCATTTAAACAAATGAAAGCATAAAATTTAAATTGCCAAGGCTTTGTAGGCAATACAATACTCTGTCAAAGACTCCTAATATCGACATCTGTGTCTTTTTCGAAATTTAAAAGGCGTTTGGAAAAATTGTAAGCTTAATATTGTTTGTTTTATTTTTTCTCCTAATTTTAATTTTATTGCACTTTCAATTTATTGTAAATACTAAGCCCTTGTCTTTTTAGGCTCTATTGTATCATAAAATTATTATTTACTTAGTTGAAAATACGCATGCTGTGGGTATCCTGTAATTGAAGGAGTACACATACCAATACCCTGTGAAATGTATTTTTGATATTTTGTGTACATCCTTTGTTGGAGATCCTTAAATAAATAAATAAATAATTTGGCAACACTATTCTGTCACACCCTGTATTGTACCTATGTTTCAAACAGCCAAAGAAACCTTGACCAACCTTTCTTAGAACCCTGCAGAGTATATCATTAGCCGTAATATGATTCTAAATATTATAAGGAGGAGAGTGAGAAGGAGAAGGAGTACGTACGCGTCTGTCGGTTGGCGGAGGAGGTGTCGGCCCCGCGCTCGTTGCCCGCGAGGTCGATGAGCGAGAACTTGCCGTGCACGCGGTGCATGCCGGGGGACCGCACTATGATCTGGAACACCGCGTGTGACCGCGAACTGTTCGAGTTGGCCGACGTCTGCAACATAAATATTACGATTCATTACTATCACAAAAATAAATGGAGACTAGCTGAGACCCGCGGTGTTACCCACGTTTGTTGTTATAACCGCGGGCAACGCCGCGGGGCGAAGCTAGTCTAAAAAAAGTAGCCTAAGTTAATCCTTATGTCATCAGCTATCTGCCAGTGAAAGTCCCGTCGAAATCGGTCCAGCCGTTCCAGAGATTACCCACCCGGAACAAACAGACAGACAGACAAAAATTGTAAACATACATATGCATTTAGTAAAAAGCGGTTATTTTAATATCACAAACAAACACTATAATTTTATTTATTTGTATAGATAGATAAAATTAATCAAACACACAAAAAACAATTTTCGAAATAGATTAATTTTATATTTATTTCTTCTTTGTCTTTTTAATAACGTATATTCATTAAAAATATAGTTTCCCCTATTTTCTTGATTAATTGAAATTAATGACGTCTATAATTAGGCTATAGATTCGGTGAGTAGTGACCGTTTTTATTTTTTTATGTATCGGTCTGAATTTTGTGTTATAAGAACTAAAAAAGTATTCCGTATTAGCCTAATTTTCAATAGCTTGTTACTTTTTATTTATTTATTAACCTAATTTTTTTACGTTCGATATAAGTTATACGAACAAAATGAAAAAATCAAAACACAAATAAAGAATTGTATTGCTAACCTGTCCAGAGGTCCTTGCGGCGTTACCGTGTTGAATAAGCTTGAGCACCTCGTCCACATTGTCGACCACCTTCTCAGTGAGGCCCACGATTTGCACCTGCTGCTTGCCGTCCTCCAGCACTCGCAGCTTGGCCTTGTCCGCCAGTAGATCGAACACCTTCCCGGAGTAGATCTCGAAGAAGGAAGCCGACACGATGAGGTTGAGAGGCTTGTACTTGGGCGACTTGAGGTACGCGAACACGTCACGCGCTGCCATCGCGTAGATGCCCTTCTTGCAGTCTTGAGTTTTGCCCTGTAATTAAAACGATAACTATCTCTCATTAACAAAACAGTGGTGTAGTGACTGATGATGTGCTAGATCCATTTCATACATTTATTAATTAATCAAAACTTAAATCACACACACTTCATCATCATCAGCCTATCGCAGTCCACTGCTGGACATAGGCATCTCCCATTGCACGCCACTTAGTTCTATTTTGGGCTTCTCGCATCCAGCTCCTGCCAGCCATCTTGCGCAAATCGTCACTCCACCTGGCCTGTGAGCGTCCTACACTACTTTTGACGAGGCGCGGTCTCCACTCAAGAACTCGTTTTCCCCACCGTTCGGTCAGTTCACACACTTAAATCTTTTTATGGAAAAATCTATAAACAAAATTGGCATAATGGCCACAATACAATACATTTCAGTTTTTATTACAAGATTTATAAATACATTTTTGTCTTGGATAGTTTGCCACTTAAAATATGGATATAATTAATTAACAAATCCAAATGCAATTCGTGATCGAACACAGGAGAGGACATTTCTGATAGTTTGGAGGTTTAATTTTTGAAATATAAACTTAGAATTTACAAATTTTTGTGCCGATATTGTAGTTCGTATCTTTGAAGTGTGTGATTGGCGAATGTTGAGTGACATATGTGTGCCGAATAATCTGTATGTGTGCTGTGCGTTTGCAGTGTTTAAGAATGTGTTTAGTCATTGCTAGTGAAGTGTTTGATAGCGGCGGGAACACTGACAAAACTCAAATAAGAGCACAGATGCAAATGAAAACAAATAATGCAACATGTTTCACAGTACCTGGAAGTCACCCCCCATGGTGTGAGTCTTGCCGGAGCCAGTCTGTCCATAGGCGAAGCAGGTGGCCATGCCACCTTCGAAGATCGTCTGCACCAGAGGCTTCGCTGTGTATCTGTCAAAGATAAGTTTTACTTATTATATACTGTATATTATTATTTACACCCGTCGGAAGGGTACTAAGTTTCGTGACGTCACATTTTAAAACCTAATAATAAATAAAAAAAATTTAAATTAGGTATTAACAGTAATATAATTGGTTTTGTTACTTTTTTCAAATGCTTCGATGTTGATTTTATTAAAATATTATATAAATGGAAATAAAAACTAATTTCAAAACTGAACTAATATAATAATAGGTGTAAAATTGCAAAATCACAATATATTCCTAATTCGGGCGTTGTCTTTTAAAAAAAAAATATGACCAGCTATGATAAGGAGGAGGCGGAGGCGGGGAGGCGTCAAGAAACCATGAGTCGTGTGACGTAATTTTTTGAAGCCTTGCGATAGTGGCAGTATTACACTAAGTACTCCAGCCCTGTTAGCGTTAAAGTACTTACTTATAAACCACTTCGTTGGTGCAAGTATCGTCAAAGGCGTAGTCGAAACGGAACTTCTGATTCTCAAGGTATTTGGTTAGGTCGACCTTGTTCTTCGGCTCGTGGACTATCATTTGGTCTTTTGTTGGTACACTAATGACGTCGACCTGCAAATGTTAATATGATAACAATAACTGAACACGTCTCACACACGGTAGTCTAATCCCAAACTATAGTCGGGTCAACGACCGTCCTGCGGGTGACAGACGGTAGCAAGTCAGTTTAGCAGACGACTACACACGTAGAGAAGTGTGGCCGGATAAATCTCAAGATAAATTGTGACTATTTGTGACAAAATTTGTCAATAAAAAAACAAAGTGCTATGGTACTTTAATGCATTTAAATTATGATGGAATATAAACCTACAATAATAATACATTCTCAGAGTAAAACTACCAGTCTTATAGTAAGCTATATATATTTATTTATTTCGGACAACTGACACACAGCGCCATCTAGTTTCGAACTAAGCAGAACTTATATTAGGGAAGTTAGAACTTATAGTATACTTATATACTATTTTTTGTAAATACATAGAAAACACCCAAACTTCGAAATAAATATTTGCAAATCATAAAAACGTTTGGTCTCCGACCAGGGAATCAAACCCGAGACCACTGCACCACCGAGGTAGTGATGTTGTGTGTCTGTCAGTCAGTCAAGCTATTCTCGTGATTTAATGTTACTATATCAAGAAATTTCTTTTTACCCTTTTTAAAGCAAAATTCTGATATATCTAATTTGTACTGATTGGACATATTAATTAATATCTCAGAATATCGGTCACGGTAATGGTAATGCTTTCCCACCATTGACGGATTAATGTTATGATTTGCTTTCATTATTTTTTCTAGGAAATAACTCCTGTACTAGGAATGTTTCGTAGAGGACTTCATCATTACCTCTTTTTTATTGATCTCCTTTTTGTTAAGTGGCCTTTTCCTCACGCAGACTGTGATTTGGTGATCCTCAACTGCTTCGTTGCCGGTCATTGGCCTGAATTCAATGCTGTTCTGATACTCTCTGATCATGGCTAAAAACTCCCAGTTAGGGTTCCCTGGGTCCATGTTCATTAGTGCTTCCTGAAACATGATAGTTTTAAGTTGAATTACAATGTTAAGATTGCTCTTTAAGGGTATATGGGGGCAAACGAGCAGACAGTCACAAGTCACCTGGCCAAAGACAACTCGAAGAGCCACAAATGTATTGACGGCATCTGAGTGCCCTGCCCCCTTCCGCCTCGAAATTGGAAGAGGTAGGGTAACCTAACTCATTTGGTGAAATGCATTAATTAAATGCAACAGTTTTCTACAGTTTGAGTTTTGAGGAACCGAGATTTTGTAACTTCGCTGGGCGCAGCAATTAAATGTGTAATAGCCAACAGCTAAGGTTCTCTAAAAACGCTGACTAACTGACAATGCAGTATAGACGCTGTCTATACTTCAAACTACCTCGATGCTCTAGACTGACTTGTGTCCTCACCTCTTAAGACTGAAAACAGGCATTATTATAACACAACCATTAAAATAAATTGAATAACCAGTTTCTGAAGAACCATTGAACAAGTTACCTTTTCCTCTTTAAGTTCCGCCTGCCTCTGGCGTCTCTTCTCTCTGTTTTCCTTAAGCCTCTCCACCTCCTTGACGACGTTGGACCGTCGCACGGCGCCCGAGGCTACGGCCTGCGGCACCGACACCGTGGACGACACGCCGCCCGGCCGCACCGCCGACCCACTCACGCCTCCGACGCCCGTGAACTGCACCACCAAACTTAATGTATCCAACAATATCCAAAGGCCACATTGTTACTACAACTTATATGGGATTCCAGAAAATAATTCATATTTTGTGCACAAAGGTATAGTTTTTGGAGCAGGCGACTGCCAGCCCTGACAATTATATTTTGGTTTCTTAGTAATAAACATAGTTTTATTAAGGGATGTACTGATTTTATTAAAGGATGAGGGATGGAAATTGAGGAATAAGAGCTCCTTGTGCACTTGGCATTATAACTAAGAATGATCGATAATAATTTGACGACTCCACAGTAAGTAGAATATATTAATACAATGTCTAGTGCGCGAGGTCCGCAGAAGCCCTCTCACGTCTTCTATAGGAACTGGTAGAAAATAAGTTGACTTAAATAATTTCATGAGCGTATGCCCCAAGAACGTGAAAGAGCTTTTATGGATAAAGGAAAATACAGTGGAACCTCCTTGTTGATATGCATCATTCTGCGTTGCATGTGCGCGGTGTACGGAGACTGTTGCTGTTGAGGACCTTTAGGAACGGAAGCGGTGCTTGGTGAACTGCCGGAGCGGGTACGACCGCCTGAAGCTGGCGTCTGTTAGCGAAAGGAACAAGGTAGGATGGGGAATAGGTGAGGTAATTAATGGGAAATAAATCTACTATTGGTATAAAATTGGTTCATCTTCATCTTGTCCGTCGAATACATTGAACCACTGACTCTGACTGGTTCTAATACTAGTTGCACTATTTTTAACTTATTATTTAAGACTATTATTAAGATTTGGTAGTCTCTCTCCTTAGGTAGATCTTACCAACAGTTTGCAACAATCGACACACTAAAAAAAAGGAAAACAAAAATCCACCCACTACCCTACTTTAAGAAAAATACCGCATAGTCTCCCTAGTATATTCGCACATTAAGACATTTAGCGGTCGCCTACTCCATTTACCAAGAGTGATGATCAAGGTTAATTTTGTCTTACTAGCATTGGCAAATATTGTCAGCGGTATACAGTATCCTGATGGAAGATTCTGTTAAAAATCATACTGGAAATTTGCATGTCCTATGATCGCACACTTGGGTTTTGTCTATGCGCCGGGTATTTGAAAGTGCCATATTATTACCTGTTGAGTAATCCTAGTGTTGGTGGGCGCTGGCTGTGGCAGCTGCGCGGGCGGCACGTTTTCTGCTCCGCGCCGCCCCGTTGTGTCGCCACTGTGCCCGTTGGTGTACGCCGCGCCGCCACCGCCCGCATTCGACAGTCGCATCTGGTTGTTGCGCGTAACGCGAGATGGCGCTGGAACATATATTTAAATCAATTTGAAAGAAAATTCGTATTGGCGTTAAATGACGCACGAACATTTATTTTCATAACTTTTCCCATTTAAACTAAAAATACATAAGTTTTTTTTTGTAACACGATAATAATAATAACTTGACACAGAACCGTCTAATCTTAACTAGGCACAGTCTGTACTATGGTGGCTACTATGGCTAGACTGCGAATAAATTTGTTATAGAAAAATTACTCCCAGAAACAGAACAAATGATCGTGCACATAACACAATTATTTGTACTGAAAAAGCAATATTAAATGAATAATAAGGAGAGGCCTATATCCAGCCCGTGGACTACTAAAGCTGTTGATGAAGACGAAAGGAATAATATATTTAAAATAATAATCAAATATTCCTTTCGAAGTCTCTCATAATTATTTACATTCACATAAATGTTTGAAATGCTTACTCCAAAGCCAATTCATGGAAACGGTCTCTTAAATTCTATTCAACACTTTATAATACTATAACATAATAATCTTAGATCATAAATATGTCTAGATAGAATTCCAAAGCTGTGAAAGGAGCGAAAAAAATAGAGTCTAACTGTGGGCCACTGGCTGTGTTATCGCTGTGACTATAAACGCTCGAATTGTACGCACACTAACATTACATTTACGTTGCCATGAAATGTACTACATTTATCCCAAAGAGAGACAGATATTTGTTATATTTTTCTTTTCTACTCTTTCTCATAGCTTTTAATTAGACAAATTTTATTAGAGTAATTTACATAATAACACCAAAGATATAAAATTAATGGTCAAATGTTAAAAAATGTATTTCAATAACGGACCTTTCACCCACGCACCTCATATATTTGGTACGAAGACATGAATGGACGATATTAAGCAAACTCTCAAAACGTTGAACTTTTATGTTTAGTACGTGTTCATAAGGTCTACTTAACATTCAATGTATAAACACTAAAAAGTTATTCACATCACGGTTTTGGAATCAATAAATTTTGGGTTATGGTCTTTATTTAATTTTATAGTAGTATTTATCATATAAAATCTCTTTAAACCTACGTTTGTAATCCTACTTTTTCAGACTTGTATTGTAGAGAAAAAATACCCTTCAATGTCAATTTTCAAAAAAATTGTTGTGGAGATAATAACTAAACTACAATAACTACACAGACTTGTTGTCCTGGATGGGAATCAAACCCATGACCTCTAGCTTAGCAGCCAGGTTCATCAAATTTCTAAGATAAATATATTATCTACCAGCAGATAAACTATCAGAGCAATCTGGACCGCTGATTCTGTCGATTTATTTTTATCTTATGTGTAGTTTATATTATTAGTGTTAAAACAAATATAACGTCCACTATGTAACTTCCAACTACCTACAATGCAACTTAAGAAGTAAATATCAAGTAAGTACTCAAATAAGTACTGGATTTCGAGTGTTCTACCTCAATCAGTAAGTAAAGATTCACCATTTGCTCTGAGAGCAACGGTCTTGAAACTAAATTCAGGAGACCATATTTACAGTAATGCAGAGATATTTAACTATTTTCATCTATACTTAACACACAGTCCATGAATCATACTCACGTAATATTCTAAATCTAGACGTTTAACAAAAATAAAAAGTCTCCAAACATGTGCAAATGAGAATTGTGCAAAAAGCGTAACGAAACAGCAGCGATCAACACAAATGTGGTGCGATATTTAAACAGCTGAGGCTTACGTGACGACGATTTATGTGTTTCTTCATCCATTGCCTTCTCGGAAGGTAGTTCGCTTTGCTCAAACGCTTCCACCGGAGCATTGGTCTCAGCTGAGTCGGCGACCCGCCTTCGCCACCTCAACCATGAGCAGCACATTTTGGCAATATATTCAGTCTCGTTTCAATAACATGCCTTTGTTATAGGACATGTGTTCTTCTAATAGACTGATTGCTCGGAATGAGTTCAGTTTGCGTTGGCGCAAGGCAATCCTGTGCCTGCGCCGCCATATTAGGATCTCTTTCCGTACTCAAGGCAATGAACCGTGACGCATGCAAGGCACGGCCGCGAACGTCAAATTACATATCAACCTTTATGGTTAACGAAACAGTGAGCTTAAAAAGTTTTAACCGAAATTTACATTAAATTTTAATCGAAAATCGATAGTTGATAACGTTTATAAATGGCGTTGTAAACATTTTGAACAATTTATCGACTGATAGAAATATTTAGCTGGTTGACTTTTAGCATCTAAGAAAAATACTAATATTTATAATATATAAAGCCCTAAACCTCTAGTAGGCAAACACAAATAAAATTGTTGTTTAGGTGAAAGACAAATAAAAGCATACAATCACTTTAAAACGAACAAAACACGTACGCCGTAATCAAAGTACATACATACATGTATTAAAAAACTCTAACCAATACGACGACTTAAAATGAACTACGGTGAAACGATTCGATACAGCCAGTTTGATTACCCGTATCAATCTAACTAAACCATTGGAAAACAACAGTCGGCCATTACTGACACGAATGTGGCATATGTCCTGCGTATTAATGAAAAATGTATAACAACATGACGTCACGAGCTTTCATTACTTATCGATTGATAATACAAAAAGACACGTGTACTTCGTAGTGGGTAACACTCGGAAGCAAAAGTTGAAAGAATAAAATAATCGATTTGAAACCGAATTATGATAACGTGAATCGCCATCATATCGAATAAGAGGATTGTTTTACTATTATCTACAAGGAAGACTACCAACAGTTCTGTAGACCAAAATAAACAAAGTAATTTAAGTCACCCAAGTAAGATGATTTGATTTAAACTTGATAAAGAGATAGAAAATATTTTTTAATTTGTATTTCGTAACATATCAATATGTATTTAGGCTGGAATCAATGAACGAATAGTCATAGGCAGGGATATATTTTTGAATTGTTTAGATCAAGTTGCACTGGCCGTGGTAACAGGCTGACTCCTAAGACAGGTGGCAGAGCAACTTATAATGCGATTGCGATAATAAACATAACAACATAACTTTATTGTTTTTTTAAAGACTAATCCCGCATTAGGAATATATCCTATGTCGCGGGGGACTTTACAAACATACATGAAACGGACACAAAGAGCAACCAGACTTCGAACAACAATTTGTGGATCACACAAAGTGTCGTCCCATGTGGGGATCGAACCCACAACAATTAGCATAGTAATAAGCGGCGTGACGACCGCTTAAGCCACTACGCCATCCGTGCAGTCAAACGAAGTAAAACATTTAATCAGACATTCAAGACGGATAACAAACGAACTATCTTCACTGCACTTGTCTCAAAAATATTAGAGACTTTTATACATTACGCAACTATCCTTTCTAAATTGGTCTGACGTGCCATAAAAAAAGCAATTTAGAGAAATATTCAACCATTTTCTAGATTAATTAATTAGTTCAAGCAATCTAGTCTCAGAATTGTACAGACACGCAAATAAAATTTATTGCCAGCCCATTTAAAACTCGAGGCTTTTAAAATATAAAATCTTTCGTATTTAACATATAAAAGTGATTACGTGAATAGTATTATTCTAGTATACGTAAAAGTAAAAAGTATATATGTTGCGAAAAGGTTTCAATTAACATTTCTTTGACCTTAACGTCAACATCATATGCGTAAAATATGTATAATGTACTTGAACGAAAATGTAAAGAACGGAATAAGGCTTGACGATACTGATTTTTAAAATATATCTTAAATAGTATACTTTGTTAAGAACAATATCCACAATAGTATTGAGTATCTCATTGACTCTGAACACCAGTCAACTACCCTAAAACGTTGAGGTTAGTCAACTGTTTGCTCTCATGACATTATTTGTTCTAGGTAGTCAGTCTATATTATATACCAGAATTACAATTCCTATTTTATTGCCTTGCCTCAAAGTCTAGCCTGCGGTATTTCCGTACCAATACCAGCTTCAAAACTTAAAGCAAATAGCGTACTTACTCCCACACCAAAGACCGGCAACGCAATTTGTGACTATAGATTTGCAGATGTCTATCTATCGTTCAAGGTAATCTCATGGTGGCATCTGATCCATCTGTTTGTCCCCTATTTCATTAAAAAAAAGCTACTTATCTGCGTAAACCAAAACTAGACCAAACATATACCTTTACTATATACCTACAAATCTCTATGTGAATCTACAAATACGATTTTTTTAATTGGTGATGTAACTAACTCTATATTGTCCCAATTTCCCATTTACATCGAAGTGTAAATATTTCGCACAACATTCGTTTCATCATTTCAACTAATCGTGTTATTTCTCCTTTTCTGTCTTCATTAGAATATTTCACTCATTAGGGAAAACAACTCTCACAACACCATCCATACATTTGACAAGGTCCGAATTATTTCGTAACATTACAGCTGTTACTATAACAATACCGTCGCCTACCAACGATGACGTCTACTGTCCATACCTGTGGAGCATTGTGCCTTTGCCAGAATATTCAATTTAAAAAAATGGATTGGCGCATAGCAACCGTTCTCTTGACTACGACGGAGAACGCATTGATCAATTGAACACTGCATATTCCACGTTCGATTTTGGGTCATGCGGTGTAGTAAAATCAATACAGTATAACTACCATCAACATCAACAGCCTTTAATAGTCCACTGATGGACATAGGCCTCTTATTGGTAAGGAGGTTTTGGCCTACTATACTACGCTGGCCAGACGGGTTGATATAGGGTTTATTTCAAGTTTTCCTTTTGTTTGCAGGGCTGTTGTCCTGCGTAGTTCGTTCCCTTACGACACCCACGGAATGAATAGGGATAGTGACACTCCGTATTCATAATCCGTCACCATACAGATTGCTCAACCTGGTAGAGCCATCAATGTTACGGCACAAATGGGCCGGATCGACCGGAGAGATAGTTTGTTCCCTTAGTCGGCTCTTACGACACCCGCGGGATGAATTGGGGTGCTGACA